AAAAAAAACAAAACAAAAAAACTGGACATTTTCAAAACTGTATTGTTTAGTTATGTAAACTAAATGATGTAAGTAGTCTTAACTATCATATTGTACTGTAAATAAGTATTAAGCTGCAATGCTATTTTCCCCTTTTTATTTTTAGTTTTTCCTCTGTATATTATGTTTGTAAATTAATAATTAATAATAATAATAATAATAATAATGAAAAAAAAATGTCTGCTTGGAAGAGCTGTGAAAACGAATGGTATCGTAGCAGCTCTCATAAGCTTATAATTCTATTTGTTGTCATTGTAGAAGCTGTTATTGTTTTTGGGCTGGGAGGGGGGGAGGGGGCATTATTTCTGTTGTTTGTTCTATTGTCCTCTCAAAGGGTCTCAAGCCATTCATGTGAGACCTTATGAGAGCTTCCAGATTCCCAAAACGAAAAACACCCCCTAATAAGTTGCGCCTTGCTGATCTCTAGGAAATGAGCAACCAGCGAAATTCATGTCCAATAAAAACAAAAAAACATATGGAGAGACCACATGCGGTACCCAAACATGGGTGAGAATGTGACACATTACCTGTAGTGTATTTAGTCTGCATATATGTCTCTAAAGAGTCCTATTGATAACTGTAGGCATTTTAAGGTTTCTTTCGTAGTAAACTTTGGAAATCTTTGCAAGCAAAGCCAGTCTTTGTTGGAGAATCTTTTCAAGCCACTGAATTGGCACAATGCTTTGGAGTGACATATTAGTCTAGCCTGTAGTGGAAGCGTTTTCCATTTGTGATCTCTCTTGGCTAAAACCCTGTTGGAATACTACAGGTGATCAACTTACCTCCCTAAACAAAAACAAACAAACAAACAAACAAACAAGCAAACAAAAAATCTATTTAAAGAGAGACCTGCTGAATTGCGTTTAATATGCATGCTCTCTGCTCCTTGCTTGTTAGCCTGTCTTTAAGTTTTAATTTAGCAGTGAATGAAATATGATATAAGCTTCAATTTATAAATTATCCTCATGTCAGACTGAATTTTTTTTCCCTACAGATTGTGGCACAACCGAAAGTACCAAAGGCCACTCAAGTTTTATCTTTTACATGTAACCTGAGTGCGATCCCTTTTTCACCGTATGAAATGATTGTGATATAAACCATAAAGAGGAGCTTGTGCGGTCTGTTGAAACTGCTGCCAACATGTGGAGGCTAACTGCTGCAACATCCTTGAACAATTTACGTCAATTTCTTCTTAAGAGAAGTGGTAATATGGTGAAACTTTATCATGCAAACAGTGGATGTTTTGGCTACAGACCATCTCCACAAGTAACTCTGAAAGGTCAGCTATTAGCAAACTTATTATGACTAAAGATTTTAAATTAAACTAATAATAATAACAATTTTCCAGTTGCTTCACACCATGGAAACCAGAGTTGAGTACATGTACTACTTGTAACTAAGAACTAAAAAAGCAATTCCTATTGTTACTATAATTGTAACTCATCAAACTTCATCCTCTTTTTATACCCTAGTATTGGATATTGATAAGTGTAGGTCGGGATTGCATTATTTTGTTCACTTCATGGTACTGGTAAATTTATAGGTGGTGAAGAGGTATTGCAAAACAGAATCAAGAATGCTGATATTCTTAGACTGGTGACAGCTTACAGAGAACATGGACACAAGAGTGCTGACGTAAATCCACTAAATAATTTATCAACAAGGTGAGCTTCTAATTTCCCAGATCATTGTACTTCACTTGTCATTAAGATTAAGGTGGCACTTCTTGTTCCACTAGGAAATTTTTTGTGCAACTTCAGTCCTACTTGCAAGGTTGTTTATTAACCTGTAGTGTCCTAAATTATTGAATTGTCCTGTCTCTTTTCTATACATGTCAGCTTTTATAAATTAGGAGAAAGTACTTTATTTTCAATTGATGTGTGGGGATTACTCCTTGCATGTTGTTATTAATGACTATACATGTAGCTTTGTCTTAATATTCAATAATTATTTTGCTGTCCCAAAATTGTTTTGGAATTGTCTGGATTTACTATCTTTCATGGTGATTTAGTTCTGGCGAAAGCTGAATTTGTAAGTTACTTGTAAATGGAATTATAAACATTTTACTCTAATTCATTTTCATGACTCAGAGATTCACAAGAACTTTCTTTAGAGAGATTTGGTTTGGATGATGTTGACATTAAGAAGAATTTCAAGTTATCGGGTAACGTGTAGTGGTTTACCTGTCTTTCAGTTCTGTGTTTAATAGACACTTAAATTAGACTACTGGTATTCATTTAATAATAAATGACTCCCTTTATTAAATCAAAACAGTCACATGCAAAATTAGAATAATTATTGCTTATTTTTATAATATGATCATGATAGCTGTGCTTACACTTCCTCACACAGGCGGCCCGAGCTCACAATGCAAGGAGTATTTTTTTTTTTATTTTTTAATCTTTATGCGAACGTTCAGCGCGCGAAACGTGACACGGTTACCGCTGACATCTACTATTACATAACGAGCGAGTTTGGTTACGCGAAA